CTGCCATATCATCAGTTATAAAATTCATCTATTTAAATCACAAAGAATATACTTGTAACTAATATCTATTAATATAACTTTTTTAGGTGTATATCTACTACTTTATTGAAACCACTGTGCAACTTTATGGTTATCCTTGGTGTTGAGCTCAGACTTATGAAGAGTGTTTGGCCACTTCAGTTTTTTAAGTCTTGACATGTGATGAAACTTCTTCCAGTTTAACTGTTGTGTAATTTTATTGTAGAATCACATGAAGTTAGGCACTGAATGTCTGATTTATTTGTTATGTAGCTTTGAAAATTTATAAAAGCTGATATATTCATTCAAAAGCAAACAAAGTTGCATTATGTAACTTTTATAAAAAATATTTAAAAAGAAAATGTTATATTTTGTTTATTTTATTTGATGTCTTGGTCTTGACTTGGTCTCGGGTTAGGTGGTCTTGACTACAACACTAGCTAAAAGTATCAAAAGTCTAACAAAATGCTAAAAGTAGCTGATTGTTTGCTAAAAATAGAGAAATGGCAAATAAAAACTAAAAACTAAAAGTAGCATAAGAAGACAAAATCAGAGAAGTCTCTCTGATGTCATCAGATTCTTCTGCAGCATATTTTTGATGGAACTGAAAAGATTTCCATGTAGTTCCATGGAAAAATAAGCAGAACATTTGGAGTATGAATGACTAAAATAGCACAAAGTATAAAAAGAAGTATTTATATTGAGAAAAACAAAGCAGGAACATTCAAACAGGAAAGCATTGGTGTGAGTTCTGATTGAGCATTCACACAAACTAAATGACAGAACCTGATCGGACTATAAGAAATTCCTTTAAGTTCATCTTTCCTACCGAAGTTGGACAACTCGAGCAAAGAGACTTCACTTTGTGTACAAAAATGACCTTTCTGGTTTGATTATGTTCTTTTTTTGGACATGGGATTTGTCAATAAATGTGTAAAGGGAGTAGAGGACAGAGTAGAGGTCTCCCTGCCATTAATCTGAGACTGCCCTCCCCACCGGCACCCCCACCCGTCCTGTTTCTGTCCACTCAACCCCACTCCACCTCCATTCATTCAGACCCAGCCCTGGCTGAGAGGAAACGGCTGCTCCCTCAGGGAACCCAGCATCATCACGATAAAGGAAGCAGACCAGTCTGCCGTCTGTTCGAGGACACAAAGCTGCAGGCGGGTCACCTCCACCCTCTGAAGGGCAGACATCAGCTGGAGGTGAAATGGAGCGCTGCTTCTGACACTGCTTGGAAGGTAAGATCACCCCTTTAATGAAACTTTACAGAGTTAGTAGCAGGAAGTGCTAAAAGACAGTTGTGTGTGATTAAAGCACGACTGCAGACTGATTCATGAGGCTTTGGAAACAATTAGGCTTTCCAGCCCACGAATCAACTTGGAGGAAAATAAACTTATCTAAGTGAACAGAAAGGTGTGTAGTTTTGTGAGACAATAAAAATGATCTGAAGACCTATAGGAGAAAGAGATAAAATAAGTCTACAAGTTTTGGATTAAATAGTTAAAGCGTACTCGTGTTTACATAAAGTAAGATTTTTGTTTTTAGATTTGCTTTTATGAATTGAAACACCTCAAGTATCTTTTTATGTGCTGTCTACAATAAGTATGTGTGGCACATTCAGCAAGACAGAAGATCTAACTGTTTGTAGTGAAGAAAAAATGGGTTTATAGTTACTGACGTTTTATGAATTTATTGTCATAAATGTGCACTAATGTTACAAATTTAATAGACTGGCATTGCACAAATAAACTATTTTTAAAAATCATGTTAAGAAGTGATGGAGTCACAACAGTTTTGAGTGATTCTGTTAGATCTTCTGAGATGTTTTCATCTGTTAGTGCTCAAAGAATTCACCAGAAGTTATGTTCAATATCTGGAAATACTCTGATTTAAAGTTATTTCTCTGTTTGCTCAGGCTGATCAGCCGTGGCTGCCGTTATACTTCCATCAGTTCAAGATGAACGTGATGATTGAGTTTCTTTAAAATCTGCCCAGTGGTTCACGAGATATTTCGCTAACAGAAGCACGTGCACACACGCAGACAGACACAAGCACTGCCTGCCTCGTGCCTTTTGTCAGCGGGAAGTAATAACGTCTTTTAATTGTTTCTGCTGCTCCAAGAAGTTGTCTCTGGGCCGTGGTGACAAAGATCATGGTAACTCAGCTACTTTTGTCATTTTCAGCTTCACCTCGTCATAAAATTATGAATTAAAATAAATTACAAGTTGTATAATTAATAAAAAAAGCTCATGTTTCTTTAAGATCACGCCAACACAAATTCCAAATCTGTATGACATTTTTGTATGGAGATGAAAACTCTGATGATTGTTTATTTAATTTAATTTACTTTATTAACATATTATTTTATTTTATTTTTGAAGTAATTTTATTCCATAAGGAAAACAATTTTTCCAAGAGGCTGGAGATTAATCTTCTTGTCCAGTTCTTTACTGGCTTGAACATGAACCGAGACACTGACAGTTCTTTGTGTCTACTGGCGAGTTAATTTCAACGATGTGGGCGATCTAACAAGTTGAGTCAGGTCCTCTGAGTGCATTCTTCTTTGTTGACATGTTTCGCCTCAGTGACCTATTGTTGCCAACCTGTACATGGAGGAGGCAGTAAAGAGAGCGGGACACCACCGACTCACTGGATCAGGTATGTTGAGGAGTTTCAGAGAAACTGAGACGTTTATTTTCTAAACACAACGTCCCAGTGGCTTTTAAACCCCAAAATACATTAAAGACTGGTTCATCCCAAAGATCCAGTCCCCCGGCACAAACAGAGTAATGTTGTGTATGCTGTTCAGTGTCAGGAGGGTGATCAGTCTTACATCGGGGAAACTAAACAGCCACTGGCCAAAAGGATGGACCAGCACAGAAGATCAACATCATCAGGCCAGGACTCTGAGGTCTACACTCATCTCCAGGCCAGCGGTCACTCTTTCAGGGATGAAGATGTTCACATCCTGGACAGAGAGGAACGATGGTTTGAGAGAGGAGTAAAGGAGGCCATCTTTGTGAAAAGAAATCGTCCATCATTAAACAGGGGTGGAGGCGTCCGGGTTCAACTGTCCCCCTCTTACAATGCTGTGATTGCTAGTATCACTCAGCCCTCTGTGAACAGTAAACAGCCATCAGTGTGCTAATGATCCATTGTTAGGCTGATGGTCCTTCTTGAGCATGTGATCAGCTGGTTTTGGTTGTCAGCAGCAAAACTGGTTGATCCACTCTGAGAAGGTGCTATTTAAGAGACTGAGCTGAATACAGCACCTCAGACTGAAGTTTGTTGGATGAAAGACGAAACGTTTCAACAAGAAGAATCTGTGCAGAGCACCTGATTTAACCTCGTTAGAGTTCTCCCCTGTGTTTGTCTCCTCAACTCCTGCTCCTCCTCCTCTCACCTGCTCCTCATCGTCTCCCCAGGTGTTTGTTATTTTTCCCTCGTTAGTGTCCTGTTACAGTCTCTTGTCTTCACTTCCTCGTCCTGGCATTAAGCTGTAAAGCTGAGTCCTGTTTGCGTCCTCCGTGTATTCCCAGACATTTCCTTGTGTGTCATCTGTCACGTCAGGTTTTTTGCTTTGTTTAATATTAATAATGTTTAATAATGTTTGATTTGTTTTTTTCTATTTTTACTCCTGAGCTATTCTCAGAGTTTTTCCGACTGCAATTTTGGGTTCTAAACTGTTCACCAAAAATATGATACTTTGTCTGGTTTTATTGAATCTTTTTATGCTTCTTGTACATCAAATATAATGAAATTAAACCTTTTTATACACAGTCATTGAAAAACACAATGAAAACTATGAAAATGATGCACATGAGTCATTATGTTCTGATGGTACAGACTCTTTACACTGCTTGAATGATTTTATTGTTCTTTACAAAATATTTCTGTATTTATGCTTCAATTAAATAGAATAAATTGCTACATATAAATTTATATAAAAACTGGTATTTTTATAGTTTACTCAAGCACATGACTAAACTTCTACTGTTTTTGCATTTTGTATTAACATCTGTCATTTCTTTTTATTGCAGTTTTATGTTTTGCCAGTTAAAGTCTGTATGAATCATAAACGTAAAGAAATACTGGACACATTACAGAAACCAGCAGTTGAAAGTGGAGTGGTCCCACAGGGTGGTCCCAGTACAAGATTTAAGTCCTGCCACCACCATTCAAATGAACAGAACATTGCCCTTATTGCAATTCTCTGAGAATTTTCTAGCATAGTTTCTATTTTCTAGTATGTTTAGTTATAACTGGTTAATTCATGCTTGAAGGCAGTTGCAGCTTCAAATCTCAACAAGTGAAGGCAGGGACTCTCATCATCATCATCACTTTTGTTGTCCCCTTAGGGAAAATTTCCTTGCAGCAAGGTGGCGAGAATATTAAAACATACATAACAATCACACCACAAAATTGGCAAACAATAATTAAAGAAAAAGTCCATGTACAAATATCAATAAAACAGGCTGAACGACAACATCAAGCCCGGTTACATTTACAGTTTATCTGAACAATGGCCTGGCTGATAAAAAAGTTTTTCCATTTATTTGTTCTTGATTTGGGCTGCCTGAATCTCTTCCCAGATGGAAGGAGCTCAAAGTCGTCATGGAGAGGGTGATTTGGAGAGTTAATAACGTGTTCTGCCTTTTGTAGGACTCTCTTTAAAAGAGTGGCTTTTAAATCAGGCAATCTAACTCCTATAATTTTGCCTGCTACTTTTACAATTTGTTGCATCCTGTTCTTGTCTCCTGTTGATAGACACCAAACCAGGTGAAACCACCTGGTTTGGTGCCACCAAACCACCAAACCACTCCAAACTTATTCAATTTGCGGAGGAAGTGAAGTCTTTAATGAGCTTTTTTGTTAACCTTATCTGTGCTTTCACTGAATGTCAGCTTCTTGTCAGTGACAACTCCCAGATATTTATTGGATGAAACACTCTCCACAGCTTCATTTTTTATGAGAACTGAACGTGCTGGACTGGACTTATTTCTAAAATCTATACACATATCTTTGGTTTTCGAGACATTTAATTTCAGATAGGAATTATCACACCACATAATAAAATCCTCCACTACCTGGCCAGGTGAGTCATCCTCTCTCCGTAACAGGCTGACAATGACAGTGTCATCTGCAAATTTCAGAATGTGTCTGTTCATGTACAGACTCCTGCAATCATTGGTGTACAGGATGTACAGCAGGGGAGAAAGAACGCAGCCTTGAGGAAAACCAGTAGAAGAAAATGTCTCATATGACATAGAACTATTTACCCTGACACACTGAGATCTATCAACAAGGAAATCTAAAATCCATCCAGCAACACTAGGACACGGTGTCTCTCGCCCTTCTGCTGCCCTTGGGTCAAAAAACCCCAACAAGACTTAGCTGATGATTTCTGATGGGTTACTGTGACCCAATGGTAGCAGGAGGGCTAGTACAAAATACACGTTGATGATATAAAAGTTTTGTCTGCACGTGTAGTTTTATACTACGGTGTACTGGCACACCAAATGAAGCTTGACTCTGAAATGTTTTGCAGAGAAAGAAGAGAAGCAGACATGTCTGAGAAGAAGACCCGGGGAACAGACACTCGTCCCAAATCTGGCCTCCGCAGCTGGAGCGCAGACAGCTACAACTGGCGAGGGAAGAAGCGCTCCCGAAGCTCTCGCAACGGGTCAAGTCCTGGAGACCTGGAAGCAAACGGTTTGGAGGAGCTGGGTGTGCGCTCGACGTCATGTTCAAGGCGACGTCGAGAGAGGAAGTGCAGCTGCAGCGCTCTTGGGGAAGCCCTGACGGCTGCGGACTTCGATGGGGTCTGCCGCAAGGCCTTGTCCCGGCGCTCCCTGCGACAGAAGTTCCAGGATGCTGTGGGTCAGTGTTTGCCTCTGCGCTCTCACCATCATCACCATTATCACCACACACCTGGCTCCTCAGGGCCTTTCTCCGTGCTCTTCTGGTCCAAACGTAAGATCCACGTCTCAGAGCTCATGCAGGACAAGTGTCCATTCTCACCCAAGTCTGAACTGGCCAAATGTTGGCACCTTATAAAGAATCAAGTTACTCCTCCGAGCACCCTGAAAGACATGGAGGCTCCTTTGAAGCCCAGCATCTCCTCCTCTAACTCCCTGCTACAAACGCCCATCTCCTGGGAGGACATCTGCTGCTCAGCAGGACCTGGAAGCACCACCCTGGAGGACTGGGACCCTTCGTGTCATTGTGGGGATGCAGAGGGCAGCTGTGATCACACTGACTACATCCTGGTCCCTGACCTCCTCCAGATCAACAACAGTCCGTGCTACTGGGGTGTGTTGAACCGTTTTGAGGCTGAAGAGCTGCTGGAGGGTCAGCCGGAGGGAACGTTTCTTCTCCGAGACTCTGCCCAGGATGAGTTTCTGTTCTCGGTCAGCTTTCGGCGCTACAGCCGCTCCCTGCACGCACGCATCGAGCAGAATGGAAAGCGTTTCAGCTTTGACGTGCGTGACCCATGCATGTACCGGGACCCGAGCGTGACAGGACTCCTGAGACACTACAGCGACCCGGCCACCTGCCTCTTCTTTGAGCCTCTGCTCTCCAGGCCATTGCCAAGGACCTTTCCCTTCTCCCTTCAGCATCTGTGCAGGGCTCTGATCTGCAGCTGCACCACGTACCAGGGCATGGACCGACTGCCACTGCCCCCCCAGCTCAGGGAATACCTCAGACAGTACCACATCAAGTGTGAGGGGGCCTGCGCCCTGTGAACATCTAATATAAACATTTCTTAGAGAAACGACAATGTATCATGATCACAAAGAAGACGGGAACAGTTTAAACTTTATGCCTTGTCTGTCAGTATGCAGCTTAGCATACCTTAATGGAGTGTATCACCTTTCATGATGGAATTGAAACTGATCATATGTTGAAAAATGGAAGAGTTTTAGTCAAACCTCAAAAACGAGGTGACATCTCATACAGCATGTTCTGTTAGAGCCAAACGTATGTGTAGTGAATGACTCTCAGCTACTACCACGTCAATCTTCAAGTTCAAGTACAAGAATCTTTATTATCCCCAAGAGGCTTTTTGTTTCACAGTCAGTAGACACACAAAACATCCATACTAGACAAGACATTAAGACATTAAAATAACAATACAGAAATCATCATTGTTCGGCGAGAAGCCTGCTTTGGGCAGCAGATACCTGCATCCAGATGGAAGCAACCTGAACTCACCATGAAGTGGATGATCAGGATCTGCCAGAATCGGCCTGGCCTTGTTCACTGACCTTGCCTTGTGTAGGTCAGTGATGTTTTACAGGGCTATGCCAGCAGTTCTGCTGCACATCCTGACAATCCCTGAGAGTTTGTTCATGTTTTTACACATTAAAAGTCCTACCCAACAGACGAAGTTGAAAGTGTTAATAGAGACACAATAAAACATGAATAAAACATTCTCATAAAAGTATAAACAACATTAAAATCACAGAGCTTCTGATAAAATACATTCTTTGATGGGCCATCTTACAAAGTGAGTTCACATGGGGGTCAAAGATCAGTTTATCATCAAGAACAGTTCCCAGATATTTATATTGTTGCACCACCTCAACAGCTTCACTCTTGATGACCACAGGAGCCAGTGACGGCTGGTGGTATTTTCTCCAGGGTGGGCTATAACTCCAAAATAGACACATATGTACATACATACATAAATACATACATACGTACATACATATACATACATATATATATATATAGATATACATATATACATACACATATATATATATATATATACACACACACACACACACATATATATCCATCCATCCATCCATTTTCTTTACCCGCTTATTCCATTTTGGGTCACGGGGGTCGCTGGTGCCCATGTCCAGCAATCACTGTGCGAGGGGCGGGGGACACCCTGGACGGGTCGCAAGTCCATCACAGGGACACACAGAGACAAACGAGACAAACAACCATTCACTCTCTCACTCACACCTAGGGACAATTTAGAGTTACCAATCAGCCTAACATGCAAGTTTTTGGACTGTGGGAGGAAACCGGAGTCCCCGGAGAAAACCCACGCATGCACGGAGAGAACATGCAAACTCCACCCAGAAAGGCCCCTGGACCGGGGTTTGAACCAGGGACCTGCTCGCTGGGAGGCAGCAGCTCTACCAGTTGCGCCACCGTGCTGCCCACACACACACACACACACACACACACACACACACACACACACACACACACACACACACACACACACACACATATATATATATATATATATATATACACATACACACACACACACATATATGGCTTATTTTTCATTATCCAAATCAATACAAATTCAGGAGTTCAGAAATAGTAGAACAATGCCATCAGAGACATTTAGTATAGAGAAGTATTAATGTTTGATAAATATTTTTTCTATAAGTACATTCAAATAACTGTTAGCAATAGCACTGATTTAGCCCAGATCCCAATACAATAACCTGGAGGCTAGCGCTAGCATGCTAGCTCCCAAAACAAACAAACAAACTCACCAGTTCCAACTTTTAGAATACACAGTCAGCTGAAGGTTTTTTTCACAAACAGAGATATCTAAAAGTTGAGAGACATATCAGTCAGAAATGGCAACATGGGCGTTAGATAAAGAGCTTTCAACGGCTTAAAGCCTATCTACAACATAGCCTGGATATGAGTGTCACCACACGATCTGTTTCGGGACCAAAACAAAAATAATCTGTTCCGTGACCGGAAGCACGATCTGTACCATGTGCCCGTATTCTGGGCGCAGGAGTAGTGCGCCCAGAATCTTCCTATCTCTTGAATTGGAAGGGGAGCTACTGCGCATGTACAATATTTAACGAGAGTCTATGGGCAAAGATTTTAACCCCCTCAGGGCGGTAAAACATCACTAATCAGACAATGTTTTTGAAATAAACAACTTTACTCATCATTAACTATAAAATATTTATCTTACACAACTAAAATATATATACATATATTTTGGAATATTTTTATTTGATTATTTCTTTTTATTTAATTTTTTATGTCTTCAACGTAATATGGTGAGTGACGTGAGTGGTGGGGCGGCACCCTAGCGCCCCTTACTGGCCAGCCACCACTGACAGGGGCAGCAACTGAAGAGCCTTTGCTAAAATCTGTGACCATCTTTTTGTCTTAGAAACATTTAACTTTTAAAAGGAAGACTCACACCATTCAGTGAAGTCCTCGACCACAGGCCCGGGGTCTGGGTCATCAGTGCTGAGAAGAGACAGGCTGACAGAGTCATCAACAAGATGTGATGCTGTGGAAACTGGTACTTCTTTACATTTGACTGAGTGGGTCAAGTCATCTTTATTTATAGAGCACAAAAACTGTTACCAAAGTGCTTTTGTGTTTTCTAAGGTCAGTTGGCTGGGGTGGCCATCTTGAATTGGATTGACTGCTAAAGTTAAGCAGCTGTAGATGTGCACCCAATGATTACTTTGAGAGTTTCATTAAAATCTGTCCAGTGGTTCATGAGATTGTTTTGCTAACAGACACAAAAACATGCACCAGCACAGGCAAAAACAATCAAGCCCACCTTTTGCATGTCAGTGGCAAGAAATAAATATGATCTTCTAATGAGCTGCTCAAACTGCAAACCTACAACTTACATTAGTGTGATGGGTCACACATACATACAGTCGCACATTAAAATCACAATCGCTGTTATAAGAAACCTAACTATCCATTTATTCTCTGTCTCACATAATCAGTCAATAGAAATCAATCTGGGTAGGAGAAAAGCAAAAAATGTAGACAAAATTATTACAATTACCTTTTGTCTTTTTTTTTTTCTCCAGAGAAGCATGAACTTCATTCTGCTCTGCAGCCACAAGATGGCAGCACAACTGCAACAACTACATTGTAGTAAAAATATTTGCTTCTCCATTCTTTGTTTATTATTTTAATTTTTATTTAACCCTTATTATTACGGGTAGTCTCACTGAGTCATGGGGACGCATAAGAGAGTCCTGTTATTCTGCCTCCTCCTCACATCCTTCACAAGCCCATCCTGAAATAAAACTGACGTTTGTGCCTCAAACCATCTCAGATTCAGTTTTAGTAAATCTATTTATAGCCAGCTGGAAAAGCCTTGTACTGGAAATGATTAATGTTGTTTACACCTCAGTAAAAACACAAACTAATAAACAACATTCACACTGCCTCTGTCCTGTGATTGTTTCATAGATTTCTGTTATGGGTGGACTGTTTTAAATCACACCTGCTTCACCCACACCAGTCATAGACAAGTTAATGACGGGGAAATGATGCTGGAAACAATTCATCTCACATGGACGTCTCTAAATGCCACCAGTGGAAAGAGACACGTTTGGTGGATTTGACATTTCACTTCTGCGTTGTTCAGTTTTTGTCCGAGTGGGAAAATGTCCTGCCGTGACTAAAATATGAATAAAATATTAGTCATGTATCTTTAGGTTATGAAGACAGTATTTGATGCAGATTATACTACATGTTTAGATAAAGTGATAGTTTAGATCGGTGGCACGGTGGTGCAGTTGGTAGAGCTGTCGGCTCTCAGCAAGAAGGTTGCTGGATTGAATCCTGATTGGGGCCTTTCTGGGTGGAGTTTGCATGTTCTCTCTGTGCATGCGTGAGTTTTCTCCGGGTGCTCCAGTTTCCTCCCACAGACCAAAAACACTAGTCTGATTGGTAACTCTAAATTGTCTCTAGGTGTGAGTGAGAGAGTGAATGGTTGTTTGTCTCTTTGTGTCCCTGTGATGGACTGGAGACCAGTCCAAGGTGTCCCCCGCCCCTCGCACAGTGACTGCTGGATATGGGCACCAGTGACCCCCAGGACCTGAACAGGAAGAAGCAGGATGATGGATGGATAGTTAAGATCATATGTGTCAAACTCAAGGCCCAGGGGCCAAATGTGGCCCTTGGTGACATCTTATCTGGCCCCCAAGATGTTATTTCAAACGTGAAATACTTTTTTCACTTGAAATGTTTTCAGTAATCTTTGATTATGATGTCAAAAGAAAAAACAGAGAACGTCAAATGAGACCAATCAAACTCTTGTTGAGAAACCTGTGACGAAGAAAAGATGTTGAGTATCTAACTTGAGTTAATGTAGATTCTGAAACTGGCCCTTAGTTTGAAAAAGGTTTGCATTTTGTCCCCCTTCTGTAAGTGGGTTTGACACCCCTGGTTTAGATCTTTTGAAGCGGGGTTCTGTGGAAACTTACTTGTTGCAGCTCTTTGGATGATCTCAGTTTGGTAGAAATGGTTTAATCCTGACCCAAATGGGAAGGTAGCAGGAATTACAGATCAAAGCAGTTTCTGTCGTCCTCAAACAACTCGAGTCACAAATATTTCAGTGATACATGTCAATAATATTTTATAAGACTTTACATCACGTTACATGTTTATTGTTCCCATGACGGAGCAGATAAACGGTGTCCAGAGGACCTGACTGAACTTGGTTGGATCTTTCTACCTGAATGACTGAACAAGAATCAGGAGGTTTTGAACCACTCTGGCCATGACTGCCTCAGATTAGTCAGTGGGGGAGAGGGTGGACTCCAGAACCATCTGAGCACCATCAAACTGGTTGACCCACTATGAGAAGGTGCTGTTTATAAGACTGATTTTGTTGTGGCTCCTTGGACTGATGAAGTCTTTTGGATGAACGAGGAAACCTTTCAACAAAAAGAAACCGTCCAGAGGACCAGACTGAACTTTGTTGGACAGAGAAGTATGTTAAACACATTATAATATTTCACATTATTTCATAATGATCGCAAACAACAGTCAACATTATAATCGTGTTCACACCTGTTATAATTCAATAAAACAAACCACTAATGAGTTGGTTTTTTTTTATTTCTTAAAAGCATAGAAAAAATAAAGGTAAACATTAGCCCGACCGTAGCTGGCTCTGAGTCCAAGGACGGTGAAGGTGTGAAAATATCCGACATTATTCAAGTTTTCAAGATTTCTTTAAGGGATTTAAACATTTGATAAGGTCATTTGAAAAATCTAAGCAAATCTGTTCTTGTTTTTCGTATTTTACTTTATTTTATATTGTTTCAAACTGCTTTTTATGTTGTTTATTGCTGTTTATTATATGTTGTCTGTCTAAAACAGGTCTCTCTTGAAAACGGGGGATTCTACCATGTGACTTTTAGGAGTGCTCAGCCCCAGGACTGACAATAGCTCTTGGCT